TTCCAAAAGAAACGAAAAGTTTTGCATGTTGTTTTTCTAGCGCAATTTGACACTTAGTCTGGAACATCCCGCGTAGCTTTTTTTTCTTAAATACAGAATATTATAACCTAATAACGTCTTCACAAGACTGGGCCGACAAGGCCTTCACCTTTTTTAGAGCCATGTTGATCCGAGTTGTTGTTCCATAGCTGGCAATTTTCGCTGCTTGTGCGTCCATTGTCGCATCGACTCGAATCCACTGAACAGGGAGCAACACTAGAATGGGGAACTCATGCCCTTTTACACAGCACGATGTCGGTGCATTGCTGTCGCTCAGTGATTTCATCGAAAATGAACATATAATGAAGCTATTGATTATCGTTACCGAGGTTTAATGAAAGCCGGTTTTCAGGTATTGCCACGCTACGAGCCAGCAATTAATGTGCCGATTGCATCAAAACGCACTTCCAACCAAATCGTTGACCATACTGGACGGCTGAGATCGACCAAAATTCGTCTTATGCACAATGCACCGCCGAGTGAAGTTCGCCGTTTGCACGGTACTCGAATTCCACTGGTTTCGACTCGATGTGACAACGAACACTCACAACGCAACAACGACAAGGTGTGGACCATCGACTTGCATCAATCCTTCTTTGAGGAAGGCGTAGCTGCTTGGACGATTGCCGTATAAAACTATTGCACCAACTTCGTGTCAGCTCGTTTATGTAAAAGACTTGGTGATTACTGCTACCGAGGTTTTGTGGAGGCCGACTTCGTGATATTATAACCCAATTAAAAGGCAATGTCCTCAAAGGGCCTAGTTCATTACACTCTTTTTATGGAAAGTATTTAACCAGACGGAGCGCCTTCAAAGGGCAGATGTGCGATGGTAAACGTGATTATTTCCGATGACGATCTTTGTCGTATAATCTGCTTCTCAATCTTTCTTACTTCCTCGCTACTTTGTTTTGACCGAAATATTTCGATATGGACTCTAATTGCCTACTGTAATATGGGTATTTTTAGATGGATACGTGAAAATTCCTGCGGCGATGGTTGTACTTTTTTCAACAAAGAATTTTGATAAAACAGCGTAGGCGTACACAATTAAAGTAATAGCAGGTATTGGTGAAATTAAAGAAGAAAAATGAAATTATTTCCGCTGATCATTTTCGGAGTGGGTAATATCGATTGGTACCAAGCTAGTGAAAACATTCCTTAAAATGTTATAGCCTTACATCTTTCAGTTCCATAGGTCCATTAATAATCTGGTAACCACAACGCCAATGAGCGCTTTCCACCGGCTCCTATAGTCTGTCAGAGTCTTTCTATGGGCTCTGTTCGGTCAGAAAGCAGGAAAAACAACAAATATCTTATGATACACTCCTTATTTTTATTGTTTTGGCTCCTAAGGCGCCTAGCAAAATTGCTAAAAGAGTTATTACGAGTTGGAGGAGGGAATAACTTTTAAGTGGAGACCTCGAATTGTCTTCTAAGTACACCTCACTTACCGAGTTGAATTGCATGTTTCGTTGGATATAAATGTAGTATAAAATCACCATATCCAAACACACCTACGCTTAAATACGATTATATGTGTACGGTGAGTCGAGGTGCAGTAGTGACGAAAAGTTCACCCCTTAATCAATCTTCCTATCGTGTGGCTTGCTATTTGGGACGTGCTTATTTCCTTTTCCGGGACCTGGCAACGCGACATAGATCTTCGCAACAAATCGGCTCGAGTTCATTCAGATGTGGGAACTCTGTGGGCATCGAACTATAACGTCTAATTCACACAGGCTTTGTAATAAAATAGCAATAGTGGTGTCACAGTGTTGCGAGCAAATGCAGTAAGGATTTCTATTGTGATGTTACATCGTGTGCAAAATCCAATCGAAAAAAAATGAGATACCAAATGTACCAGGATTATCCTGCATTAAAATTCCTAAAAATGTACTAGTAATGGTGCCAACAATATTAATAATAACAGAGAACTACATTTGTCACACGACTGGCAGTAGCTTGTTCATAAAAATGTCAAAAGTACACCGTTTGTCGCTTGCACTCACTCTTGGGATTGCAGTTTACTGTCATATTTTCCTACATTTATTTTTAATGTATATTTTAACGTAGACATTTTCCAATTCGCTCATCAGATTTTATCCTGGCGTGCATTAATCCGTCATACCGTATTCCCGCTGTGAAAAGTAACCGTGTTTTGACTACCGACGTCTAAACGACAATAATTCATCAAAACCTATCCTCCTCAATAAAATTCGATAATGATCGACGTCATTTGATAGAATCGGCCACAATTCCCACTATCTGGACGTTCACCAATGAGTGCGTTTAGTTAAAGAGACGTTACGGTGTCAAGCTTCAGAAGGTTGATGTGTAGCGAAAAAGAACGAGAAACTAAGTTTCTAACGATTACACGGTCATTCCTTCAAGAACCCAGGAGAAGTACTTCACTGAGTTTGGTCGTGCAGGTTGCTTCAGTGGTGCGTCCAACGAACATCTTTTGTTTCCTTAAGAACTTTCAAATTATATTCTCTTAGTGAGCAAAGATAAGACCACGGGGAACAATTCCTGTGTATATTTCATAAGAGGCTTCTGTCAGTACGTGCTAAACGCATCACCACGAATGCTGTTCTGCTTATGAAGAACGTATTGTCGTAAGCAAACAAATGCTCACTTCCATCTGAATCCATTGTGCTCCCCACTTCACACCTCAATTAAAAGCTTATTTTCGGCAGCTGCTAAACCTAATTAACAAGGGTAAGATATGATGACCGAGCGTAACTATTATGTCATCTCCAGACCCATAGCCGATTGAACAGAAAGAGTTTGAGAATTGTAACATAACTATTTTAGACAGTCATGTTCTTTGTTGTTATCAGAGTGCGAAAAAATTTGACTGGCTTTGTAGTGTCATTAAGCAATTCTATGTATATGTGTCCTGCCATGTTTTTTTCCAATTTTACACCAATTGTGTTACAAAACGAGGTTTGCGAGTTACAAAAGGTAACACATTGGAGAGCCTGCTGGCCTTTTGTTGGCTCTCACTAAATCTACACTATCCAGAGGACTTGATGATTCGGAGACTACAAAGGAATAATGAGGAGATCCTTCACTGGCGCTAAGAATAAGATGCAATTTTTTAGAAATTCGGGCACTTTGAGTATAAAGGCCTCGAATGTCAACGACGCATTCGCCAATGTCACTGCATTCTGTTGGACGGAATACCGCCGGTTCAGGTTCTTCACTGATCCGAGCAAAAGGCATTGTAAAAGGCCACGAGATACACCGTCTTAGCTCCGGAAAATGAAAACTTCATCCTGCTAGTATAACGGAACACTACTGCGGTAGGCAAAGCCGTGAAAATTTTACTGCCTTTCATTCTGATTATCGGGCCTCAATAGAGCACTGCGTCTACAATATTTAAATGCTAACTACTTTTATTACACGATGAACAAGTCATATAAAGTTTATATTTTTCATAAAGCGTTGAAGATCGAGCTTCTGTTTGTTACAGTGTCCGGAATCGTATTCTGGCCAGCCTCAAGATATGCCGCAATCACGCACGGTCGCTGTCATTCTAGAACGCCCGTCAACTGTTTGTGGTAACGACTTTAGAATACTCTAGCACGACCAAATCGGGCTTTCAGAAAAAAGTGACTAATAAGAAAAGATAAAACACCCTCAAACATCAGCAAAAGCTAAGCACAAGTTCGGACGGCTCCACTGTGGATAACCATTGCAAGACATCGAAACAAATGAGTATATATGTTGAATGATATAGGTACTTTAACAAAATGAAAAAAAGCAAGTCTTAGTATTAATGTTTCTTTTATCAAACTTAAATAATAACGATGATAGTAAGGGCAATGTTTTTTTTGTTTACCGTTGGCAAAGTTAATATGGAGCTCGGTGTTGATCTGCCTCGTCAGGCTATGGCATAAACTCGCCTCCATGGCGAAGGTGGCTGATTTCATAAATAATCTATACTATACAGTCTATAAATATCTATTTGCTGATGTGTTATATCGGCGTTTTTTTTTGTTACTAGACTAGTGTGGTGCCCATTTTCCGACCCTTGAAGGATAAAAGGGTTGGTTTACTAGAGGCGCGATATCGAACCAATGGCAACGTATGCATTTTAAGACACTTCCTCCAACCACCCTGCTATACACGTTCTTAGGTTTAACCATAAAAATAATGTTATTAAATATTCCATTTTTGAAATGCCTATCGGACAAACTTACTTTGCGGAAGAAATGGCTCACTCTACTTCATGTTTAGTTACCTTGAGAACGAGAATTATTGTCATCGCAAATGTAGTTCTGCTAAAATTTACGCTAGTGCCTTAAAGACTCCCTTACCTCTACCTAAAGGAAAACAGATGAAACAATGTGTTCATCTACCTGGCACCCACTCACACTTTTTTTATTGTCCTTTTACAGTTGTTCTTTGCGACCATACTGTGGAGGCTGTTAGCAATGATGTGTGAAAGGAAATCTGTACGTTGGTGCATTAGTCAATGCAAAAAAAGATTGATTACCCTCTGAAATTTACCGGTATATTAAAGTGTTCGGTGTTTTTTCTTTCTCACTTTAAAATCTGCTATTCTATTGATATTGTTTTGTTCTCCAATGTTTTCTGTTTTTCTTTAACAATAGATGAAATGGTAGATGATTAATGCAGGCAATGTAAAATATACTGTATGATTAAACCTATTTTACAGTATTCACATGTATATAATTTGTGGCGAGGTCATTCACTTCATTCGATTCTTAGCTATGTGCACCCCTATACAGTTCAAAGATTCGCAAGGATCGCCTTTATTTAGTCGCTAGTAGACTTTAAAACACAAAATGTAAATTGTTTTGTTAACATTTTATTTCCTGCCTATTATAATTTTTCACGGTAAGGTATTAAATGCGAAACAACCACAATGAAACTGAGATATATGCAAAACTCCGGGCCGCAGGTGTCTGCGGTGAGGAACGAATGCGCAATTGCCCTCTCCGGCGGCTAACGCGTTCACCACCACATCATGCGGATCCCTTCGAGATATACGCAAAACTCCAGACACCTTCGGTCTGGAGCTTTGAGTCTGTCTCAGCATCACTGTGGTTGTAAATTGTAAGTTGAAAAGATTTGGAAACATTTCACTTCATATAAGGGTTTGTTTGTTTAGGTGGTAAATTATAGTGGTTAGAAGTGCCCCGCAAGTTGTTCGTTCGATCTTACACCTTAAGTTGAGCCGTCTATCCTCTCATGGTATGCAAATTGGTAAGAGACCTTTCTTGGAGGATAAAAATATGACTTCGTGGACCAATGGGTTAGTGCAATCCATTGTTGGAACATGGCGCTACCATCGTAGATTGATCAGTGTGAAAAGCTTTATCCTTTGTTGTAACATTTTTGAGTAAATTATATAAGGTATGGCTCACACATTTTTAAGTCTGGTTATACTAAACTACAAAAAATAAATGTGGTGCAGCACTCAAATAATGAAACAACTAGAATGTTCTTGAATACTGGAGTTAGAAACCCTAGTGCCAAACACGCTTACAACAAGTACTTGTCAGAACTAAACGAGGGATTGCTTTCAATACCCCACTTGGTTGCAGTACCACTTAGCTTTTCAGTATATCTAAGAAGAGGTGTTTGATTAATTGTAAAGCAGACTAGGCGGGGCGTTGGCGTGTATAAAACGAGCCTTCACCGGAATACTGCATTCACTTGTTTCGTAATCTTCTTTGAGCCCTAAATCTTCTAGTCGTCAGGAAACAGTTGTAATATTATGGCAACTTTCCTTCAGGTGGGTGCCCTTCAACTCTGATCATAGCAGTTCCACTCATGAATACTTATTTAAGCACCTGAAGTTAGACGAAACGGATATGCCGTCGTGTAAGAGTACACTGCCTTGGACACCAAAGTCACCATGCTCTTCTATTGTACTTCAAAACAAAAACTTTTGCTTCAGAAAAGGTCAGTGAGTTCTTTTGCATTCTTACATTGGTGGACGTATTTGTCATGATACGTCACATCGAACAAATCACGTTCATCTATGCAGGACCCGACACTTCCGTCATCTATCAACCAGAAGGCCATCCACGACAGTCCACTATAGATGGAGAAATTTGGCCACCGATTTTCCAACCAGAACATGTGCGGTGAGATATTGACTTTCTTTAATGGCGAGATCTTAAAGAAAAGTGCGTTTTTTTCTGCAATCGCGTCCTTCGAAGAACGGAAAAAAGAGCTTATCAGCCCCGAGTAGGTGTTTTAGTTGTTTTGTGTGTTTTGAAGAGGATCTCCACCTTAATTGGCTGTATATCACATTGCTTTTTTTCCTCTTCCGAAAGTACACTAAGAATGCAAAGTTTCCACGTCTTCCATCATTTTTTTTTATAATTGCAAGTGTAAAACTATGAACACCTCCTATCTGCCTTTTCCACGAGGGGTTTTAGTTATGAATAGAAACTCATTTAAAATCTTCATCTCGTTAACTTGACACGTTTCTTGGTTATATGGAAGAAAGTTTTACAGTTTACATTCTCTCACTATGAATTAGTCTGCAAGGGGCTAATTTCAATTGTTTAAGTATCTATTACACCCACTAATTGCTGTACCATAACTCGAGATCCTCTTTCCAACTTGTCAACAACTCAAGTGGTCCGAATGATCTGATACCTTGCTCCATCCAACTTCATTAAATAGACTGTGAATTACAGGTCGGCGAAGACCATGAAGGTCGAAGATGACGATGTTTTTGTCGTGACATATCCAAAATGTGGCACCACATGGATTCAACACATCTGTCATCAACTGATTCGTGGCGAAAACTACCAGGCCAGTGAAGGAAATGGTGGGTTTCGAGAGTTCCTGAAAAGTCTTTAATAAGTAGGGTATAAATTTTAGAGATGTGCGTACAGAGTCCGATGATCGAGCGCATGGGAGCAAAGTTCCTTTACACCGTCCCTTACCCACGCATTCTTAAGACTCATTTCTCGATTTTAAACGTGCCGAAAAGCACCACGGCGAAATACATATACTGTGTGAGGAATCCAAAAGATTGCTGCACGAGGTGAGCTTCAGTCGTTTCCTAAACCTTACTATTTTCATTATTATATGCTTTTCAGCTACTTCCATCATAATCGCAACTTCAAAATCTACAATTTCGCAGAGGGTGAATGGGACACATTTGTGGATCTCTTCCTCTCCGGTCAACTCGCCTTTGGCGGCTATTTCGACCATCTATTAGGATGGTTGCCACTAATCAACGAGCCGAATGTTCTCTTTCTCATGTATGAGGACATGGTGAATGACTTGGAGGGGAGCATTTATAAGGTATGTTAGGATCTATGCGATATAATGCGGCGCTCAGGAAATGATAGTACAGTGATAGTGATGTCTGTCAACACGAGCATAGTGCTAGTTCGATTTCGCTCAGAGCCAGCCAAGCCTCTCACCGTTCCGGGGTCGGAAAATCAGTGCCGGACTTGTCTGGAAAAAGTCAGCCGCTTCAATCCAATTAGAAACGCTCTAGCCCAGCTATCTCAGGAGACCAGGAAGTTCTCACTGCTCGAGCAGCACTCTACAACATTCATGATGAAATGGAAATCCTCGAGCAGCAGCAGAAGCCATGCGTAAAAGTTGGAAGATATTTGTGGAAAATAGACGTGAGGAAACGAATCGAATGTGAGAGGTGATGGGTTCTGTACAGTAGACGTGAACATGGATCAAATAAAATAAAATAAAATAAAAATAAGAATGGAACGTTCTTCACCTTCGTCAGAAAAGTAACAACGAAGAGAAAGGGCAAAATTGCCTACTTACTTTTCTGTTTTGTTCTACACGACCCGTCCTTATGTCGCCTATGTGGATCCTAACACTTCTCAAAGTCGAATCGTTTCCTCGCATCCATCATCCACGGAGGTCTTCCAACTTTAAGTGTGGCTTCGGTTGCTTTTTGAGGATTTCCATTTCATCTCAAATGTCGTACAATGTTGGTCGAACAATTTTCCCTGGAATCCTAAGATAGTTGGGCTGGAGCGATCTCAATTGGATTGTAGAGAGCGATTTTTCCCAGATAAGTCCGGTGCCGATTTTTCGGCCCCAGAGGAATGAGAGGGTTGGTGAGGTTGGGGTGGGATCGAACCAGAACCGTGGCCGTGTTGGTCGGCATCAGTACCGTTATGCTATCCGCTCCTGTTTGTTTATTAGCGTGATCAAGAGATGCATTGCAAAGTTTACATCAGGATTTAACGAAATTAACGAGCCCACTACGTACGAGGATTTGTTTGCGTTCTCACAATGGATAGGTTTAAAAAAAACTTGTGACGGATCGAAGTGTTAAACTAGACGGTTTCTTTTTTTTTTCTCAAAAATCTGGTCCTCTGTATAAAATGATGAGAAAGCTATTACAGATTGGAATGTTTCTTGGTGGAGAGGCCATGAACATGGTGAAAGATTCCGCTCGTCTAGAAATGGTCGTAAAGAACAGTAGTATCCAAGCCATGAAGAAGGATCAGAAACGCTGGTTCCCCGAGTCACAATTGTGTGTTTTTTGGATTTTTTTCGAAAGAGACACTGTTTTGACGTTTTTTTTTTTGGTAGTGACCCAAACACTTTGTTGACTCGAGATCTAAATCAAAGTGAAATGTTAGCCGTAAAACGCATACCTACAATTAATGAAGAGCATAATCACATTGGAACTTTTCAACCACCCACATTTCTTCATAATTATCAAGTCATCGCCTCTACTTAGTTGCCGGTTGTAAGTAAAAACAAAAGATTATATGTACTATAATGCTGAAATATTTGTAAAACTCCGGACCGCAGGTGTCTGCAGTGGAGAACGAACGCGCTATTGTCCTTTCCTATTGAATAGGCAGTAAATAAAAAGGTTAAGATTGTGATTATAACTATAGCTTCAGTTTAACTGGATTCAAAGCCGATTTGGGCTCTCCAGATTAATCCCGTTGACGGGTGATTGCTGATGGCAAAAGATCGATAAAACCAGCTGAGAGACAAGCGAAACGATGGACTCGCATGGTGTGGTGGTGAACGCGTTACTCACTGGAAAGGACAACCTGCGGTCCGGGGTTTTGCAAATATCTCAGCATTATAGTACTGATATTTCGCAAAGTACCCTGCCGTTAAAAGAACAGGCAATAAATAAAAAGGTTAAAAAATGTTATATGTGATTAAAATAGGAAAAGCAAACCCGAGAGCTGACAGTCGATTGTTTGTTATTCACAGAGGCAAAACAGTACTGGTGTATTCTGCAAGTCTTTGTAGACTGAATATTTCGCTGCTTTGATGACCACTTCCTTATGAAGACTTTTGTGTGTAATAATAGTCGAGTGCCACAACAATCTATAGTAGTAGCTTCAGCAATCTTGCAGCTAATCATGTGACCTTTGTTCCAAAAGAATTCAATTTAGATTCCAAAAGGAAAGCTAAGCTTAAGTCTATATAGGGACGAAATCCATTTTTCAGTGCAATAAGGAACTTCTAGCGCTCATCAGAGCAAATCTAAGCATTTTGTGAATACGCAACCGTTTTTCTATTCTTGCAAATGGTTCCGATAACAGCGGAAAGCTATAAACTGAAAAAGTAGACTTTTTAGTGAGATTAGATCTTTCGAGTCCTGCTACTGAGGTGTGCACTAGATGGTTCCATTTCATTAAAGTAAAACTAGGAAATTTTCCTAATAATAGTTATTTGAACTAACAGTGTATCTCAAGGTTTTAAAACATAAAAAGTCAGGTATAGTTCCAGAAACAAGAACGAATTCATTCGCAAGGGAGGCATTCGTGACTGGAAGAATCACTTCACAAGAGAGCAGAGCGACCGCATGGATGCCATTTTTCGGACTCGCCTGTCAGGAACGATCGCGGAGAAGTGAGCTCGTTCAGCCTTGCATTCCTGATTTCGTCATATCACTTCCACTGATCCAGATGGTGGCAAGAGGAGATGGATTGGGATAACCTACCTATTTCTTCGAATGGTCGTCTTGATATCGAAGATGACATCGAATCTGTCTCACGACGGGGTTCATTCAGCACGACGCATCCGGATTTACTCAAAGCAAGTGTCTTACTTTCCTCCGCTTATATTTCCGGAAAATATTGCCGAGCTTCCAGGAAACTCGAAGCCATCTGATCGATCGCCGTTATTCGCTCGTCTCGTTATTGTCAACTGGATATGGATCGACGTGGTCGCTCTCTAGCTCCCGTCACTGAAAAATTATTAGATTTAAATTTATTTTGGCACAATGTGTTTAACTTTCTACACTACAGGAATAGATGGTACCAATTTGTCCCACCTTTCCGCCATTTTTCCCCTTTTGCACCTTATTTGTTGCGTTTTAGCCATCCATTTGTACATATTGTAAAATTTTTTGAAGAACTTAGTGGCGATGCTCAGAGCGTTGCCGAAACCTACTGTATATGATAGTCTTTAGTAAATGAATGTTAAAGCGCCTGTTTTGGGCAAGGCGGTAGAAGACCCATTCTATGCTGTGTGTTACCGTAATCTCTGAATTTCAAAAGTTTCAAATCGCTGATCTCACAGTTGTCTACCAACTTATTACTCAGTAGAATGAAAATTAAGGTGAGAATCTTTGCAAGCATTCAAACCATTGCAAGAGGAGATGCCAAAAAAGAGCAAATTGGTAATCAATAAGCAGGAATTCTACTCGTTACTAGGGATTTGTCTAAAAACTCTGTTGCCCTCTGAATGACCACTTTCCTGGTTGTCACCCAAATTCCAGTAGAGTTTGCACTTGAATGCTATTCTGTTAACTTAAGAACATTTCATTTATTTTCAGTTCCACAAAGTCGTGCCACGTCATTCCGATTTTTTGGCACACGCGCTCCTAAAAGACTGATAGCACAGTGGAAGTGACGCCCTGTCACACCACGAGTGCAGTGATGGTTCAATCGCGCTTCGCCCTCAACAAGCGTCTTATCTCTTTGGGGTCGGAAAATTGGTACTGAACTTGAAATTCACTTTTAGCAATCCAATTGAGAACGCTGCAGTCTGGCTATCTCAGGACTCCAGGAAGAATCGGCCTGACCACCATTCTACGATTTTCATCACGAAAGAAAAATCGTCAAGCAGCAGACGAATCTACGCGTAAAAGTTGCAAGACTTTAGTGGATGAGAGGAAACGAATCGAATGTGAGAAGTGCTGGGATACGCGCAGCAGATGTGAAAACGGGTCGAATAAAATAAAGAAATACGCTTGCTCTTGGGAAACGAATTGACTAGAAAGAAGGATAGGTTAATTTCAGCAAAAAACCCTGATAGGGGTTTACTTTTAGCTAAGCTTTAAAGTGGAAATATTGAAGTCATTTCTGACCTAGATGACCGTGCTCTCGCATGGGTACTGGTGTATACTATTGTCCAGCTTATATAACGGATGGTCATTGGCAGTGAAGAGCCGAACCACTAAAAGAAACATGGCGTTTTAAAAGCTAAAATTCTAACATCTGTGTAGAGCATCACCAGCCCCGAGCCCAGAAGGTCTCTTATCCCAGTATCGCTTTCTCTAATCCATTTGCTAAACTCTAGCAGCGATAAAATTCTCATGCAGCCACCGATTCCACACGTAAGAAAACGTTCGAAGATCTTCGTAAGTGGTGGGTGGATACGAAGAAACGAATCAAATGCCTGAAATAGGAGGATCGAAACGATCTCGGGTCGTATAAATAATTATCTAAGCAAGGTCTTCCTCCTTAGCAAGCAAGTGTTTTAATGCAAAATATACCTAGAAGCAGATAAAGAAAGATCAAACATTGTTTCATGAAAAGTAATTATTAGCATGTTGTTTACTTATATTTAATGCATACTTTAGTATGCGTGCATAAACATCAAATTCATTAATCCAGACAAACAGTTCGGAGATCGCTACAGTTCTTAATCTACTGGTAATTTCTTAGTTGAGTAAGAGGCTCTTTTGGACAATCAAAATAACCGTGATAGAGCTTTAGCTGGCTGTTACCACTTGCCAACTAGTAATTGCGTTGTGATGTTGGACTTTTTGACTCATTCACAACATTGGTAGATTTTCCTCGACATAGTGCCCGTTGTAATTTCGGCATTCAGTTCCTTAGCCACGAGACAGTAGGCTATATCGAAGAGCGTATATTGCTGAAAAGAAATAACCTTTTTTTTGAATAACTCCGAAGAGTAACTTCCAGTTATTGCTGGCGGAAATTGTATGAAGGAGTCGTCAAAGGTTCTCGAAACGGTGCGAAAACAGTTGAAGTTCGTAATTCGAACATAATGACTTTTATTGATATGTGGCATTCGCTTCGTTCTACACCCGTTGAGAAGTCAGCCAAGTAATTCCAAGATTTGCTTCCATAACAGGGAAAGCAATCGCCCAGGAAGAATATGAGTCACAAGGCAGTTCATGGAATCCTTACCGCCGGACAACGAAAGCTGGCAAGTTATAGTGACTACATTGTGAAAAGCTTAGCATCGTTATCTCATGCTTCCAGAAAAATTCATGAGCCATTATAAACTTTATATAAATGAGGAGAGAAATCCACAGATCTCCGATCTTTAGTCGAACTAATATGCAAACTCGAGCACCTTCGCCACTGTAAGGCAACAAATCAAATAATAAAAAATAGAAATACATATAGAAGCAGTGCTGAACTCAACACCACTTTTGAAGACGGGTCATCTAAATGTCTAAAGTAACGAGTTAAGCGTTCTTTGGAAAATGGAGTGTTCCCTTGTGGCAAGTGTAGCACTGTGGTCGGAGGCGCCCCGCAATTCCCATATGTTCCGCCACTGAGGCTCACCAATTCTTCCATCTCGGAGTCGGCAAATTGGTACCAGACTTGTCTGGGAGGGGAGCAGCACTGGCTTGATGCATCGGTTGGCCATAGCGGGTCATTGTCAAGACCAGGTATGCATTCACTCACCTGCAACAATGCTTAGTGAAGTTGAATGTTTAGTGCATCCTTTAGTTAATCATCAACCCGGAAAGCTTCAGTTTTTTATGGCAGTCACTGAATGAGTGATAAAAACATTTCGGAATAATATCTTTTCCCAGAATAACTCCCGATATTCCAGGCCGTACAGTCTAATGCCAAGCGATAAAATGAATTAGGCTCCTCGGAAATTATTTCCGGAATTTGTAGTTTTATTTTTTGTATGTGTTCATGCGGTAGCATTTTCTTAACAAACCAATGAAAAGACTATTTTACGTTGTTTTTCTTCGTATAGTTGAATTGTATTATGGACTATGTTTCTTTTTTAGGCTTAGAAATGTTTTTAGAAACTATATCTCTAACAATTTCTAAGCTAGAATTTCTGAGATTACAACAGTAATTTCGACAAATTTGAAACACAGTGACGCTTAGGCGTGAGAATCAAAGTTCGGAGCTTCAAGCTGATATCGATCTCGCGAGTACTTTTCCTGAGGGATCAAGTGCTATCCACATACCTACCGAGGCCCGTGAGTTGCTTTCTCTCATCCATTTTTTCATCCTACTGACTAGGTCCCAATTTTTGCTCATATCTTATAGCATCCCTGCGGCTGTATTTCACATAGTACCCTGCCTTGAAAAAGTGATCAGCAAGTAAATAAAGGTTGAAGATTGTGATTTCGATATAGCTTTAGCACAGTTGGGTTCTATACCGATTTGTGCTTCCCAGATCATTTCCTCTGACGAATGCTTGCTGAGAGCACCGCTAGAGTTTGAAAAAATTTCGGGAAAAATGAAAGCAAAGGCCTTGTTTGATGTGGTCGATAGCAAATGAGCCTACAGAAAGGGCAATCGTCTGTTCAAAGTCCACCTGATGCCCCTAGTTTTGTTCAGATCTCAGGATCCTTGTGGTTGTATTAATTCTGCAAATTCAACCTCAAAGCTTCGTAGAGCGAACGGCTCGAAGCATTAATGAGGCATGAGGGCTCGAAAGTGTTGACAAATACACAACACAAAGCTTCTTTCAAAAATGTTGTGATGGCGGAATCGACCTTGCAAATGAGAGAGATCACCACGTACTGCTATGGACGACGTCGAATTGAAGTTTTTTTTTCAAGTAAGTGCATGCACAACTGTTTAAGAACTAACAGAAAGACTTGGTTCAAGCATAATAACTGCTTTGGAACTTTCAAACAAGTTAAGAAATTCAATACACTAGACGGAAGGATGTCGCACGAATTGAATGACAATCAAAGCAGGCGCCGATTTGAGGTATCGTCGGTATTTCTGTAACACAGTCAGGAAGACCCGGACCCGCCCAAAGCCGAAATGGTACAAAAAATACGTCAGTATTTTTATACCAAAATGCGATTGGCTCAGTGCCGACCGTTTAGTGCCATGCTGTTGGTTTAATCCTTCACAACCTCATGGATCTTGGTGAAACGATAATCACGGAGAAGTACGTCGAGCGAATCGTCAAAGTTAGACGCTAAAAAGACAAAAATCGTCAACTAGAAACTTCAATGGCTGCTTCTCGCATTGGTCAACAGAATGGGGTCACTTCTTGGTCAGGATAACGACTGGTCGAAAGTCGCACAACCGAAGCACGAAGAATGAACTAGGTCGACCACGAAACTCTGTCTTATTTACAGTACTCGCCAGACCTCCTCTACCTACTATCACTTCTTCAAGCATCTTGACATCTTGACTATCATCTTGACATATTCCCGCACAAGAAATGCCTCAGAAAAAGTCGAGTTTGAAAATACCTTCAACGACGTCTTCGCCTCCTTAAATCCAAAATTTTCACGGAGGAATTTCTATCAACCTCTTTTCGTTGTAAAAATCGCTTAATCTCTAGCGTTTCTGATTTCTATTAAGAAACCTTTTTCTGAACTGGCGTATGCCACTTGATCTCAGATCAATCTAATAGCTACTTGCTTAAGGTTTTTATATTTTCTCACCAGTGCTTTACTTTTTTTTGTTATCCATTTGTAAAGTCCGTGTAAAAGCACCAGAACTAACTCACTCACTTGCTTAGTGCGTGACGGCTTCCAAAAAAACAACTTTTCCTGATATTTGTGAATTTGTTACCATTGAGGCCTCGTTCGTGCCCAACATATCCCCCTTAAAAATCTGGTGGTGCGGGGTTTTTTATTGCAAGTCATAAAGCGTCACAACGTGTTACCGCCTAATCGTTGCCGAGATTTCTTCTTGGATGTCGGAGCGATGCATCACCTAGCTGTGTTTCCTGAGAAGCAGTCCGGCGTTTCCATCAGGAAGCTCAGCCAAGAGTAAGCTAGTACCAGGATCCACTACCGTCCTGGTATCAAACAAGTCCCATGGTGGCAAATATCGCTCTGATCCTCTAGGTCGGTAACGGTCTGTGGTGGTGACTACCTGGTGTACATTTTCACTAGGTTGACCTCGGGGTTCCAGGGATACACAGTGGCTAAGCCAGAAAAGCCCCAAGAATATGGAAACCGTGTTGGGGTCCGAACAGCCGGTGAAGACGGGCCATCCAAGTATCCAAGTAAATAAATGATAAGGATCAACATTTCTGACCTCGGTCACGTATTGCTGTAGTAAGCAGACTACAAAATCCCTACCACACTGTTGTCTGAAGCCACTATCTGTTGCGCAACACTTCAGTCGTACAGATAAACAAGTGGCCGATAGCTTGGTAGGCCAGTGTGCGAGTAGACTGTGCGATGGTAATCCACAGAACATCAAAATATCCATTGACCAGGAATTCTTCAGAAGTTATTTGGACACCTCTTCTTTATATGTTTGTTGAGACCCTTTAATGGTCCTTACATTAAAAACTACCTATTAAATAGCTCACACTGAAACTGCGGCTGTTTTCTCTACGCAATTAGCCTTTTGTTGTCACTCTGTTTTCACAATGTACTTGTCACTAAACTCCTTAAAACAATTTCGGCAGAAGACCCTTGAACTTCGTTTCTATCGTTCTTGAAAATTAGTCGAAGCTTTTTTTGTGAAACCGTTGTCGAAGAGCTGAGTACTAGTTAAAAACTGAATTTTTAAAGTGTTCGCGACAGACGACTTACACCGAATTCCTGTGGCCGTTTCTAGGAAGCACTTTATCTGAAACTCCAAATTAAACCTAACTGAATAGCCGCTCTTCACGGGGAGTGGCATAATTTCTAGCACAGTTCCTACTTAATTGATATGTAGGTTTCTTATAAAGAAATTTTTACGGTGTAGGGAGAATGCTGTGTCAAGCGATTTCTTGTCCCGATCGGAGGGATATTATTCTTCTGCGACCTCTATCTTTTTAGGAAATCAGGAAATTGTGACTCCGGTCTACTTTTGCTCGAGTACTTCGGGCTTCCTCTTAGCTGTCAAGATGCTGATGGGCTTTCAGCGCAAGCAGTTCACCATCGAACAACACCTTAATCATAGTTCGAAAACGCGATTTTAAATTAATGTCGAGATTAATAACGAAATTACTTCATTTCTATGAACTCTCTTCGAAAGCCGACGCGAGGTTGTTAATCCCTGTTTTAGTTTTCGATGGCTTTTCTGCAAAATCACACAATTCGTTTGATACTGTAATAATGAACCGCTCGATAGGAATAGGATTTTTTGTTACGAGCATTGATATTAAACATAAGTCTAAAACTTGCACCAGCGTCTTAATGGTGGGTCCCATTCTTTCCATGCTCTCGTTACGTCTCCCTTCCCACTCTTATCCTCTGTACTTCAGTGAATATTCTTATAAGGCGACCTCCCACTAATGACATTTTAGACATGTCGAGTGCTCGGGGGCTTCCATTGGGGAACTGGTGGTAGTGTTTAGTAATGCCCCCGATCAGGAAGCAAAGGCGAAAGTTTGACCCACTACCCAACGGCTTGCTCCAATCCACATGGAAACGCCTTACCACTGCTATCTCCAGGATTGGAAGGAAAATCGACTCAACCAGTATTCTACGACATTCAAAAAGAAGATCCTCAAACAAGAGATGAAAAAACATGAGCAATGTTCGAACACTATTGTGGACGATGAATGCGATGAAAACAAATCGAATGCAAAAAGTGCTGGGAACAGGACAGTAGATGTGATGACGGTTAATTTAAAATAAAACAAATAAATAAAAATGAGTAAGAGCACTCACATGTTGTTCACACTCGATTCTGAATGGAACTTACTCAGAATGTTGGATTACATTCGTTTGTTTCGAGTTGTTCTTCAGTAATTTTCGCGTTGTTTGAATGGCCCTGCTTGCAATTTGATAGCAGCACAAGTTTTATTCTGCGTTTCACAAGTCTCTTCGTACAACGAATGTAGAGCAAACGACTTCCCAAGCATAAGAGGACAAGAGAAAAACTTCACCAGATATAAGCGATAGATCACGACTACCCTGCATAATGCAACAAGAGTATGGCTAACTTCAAGACGGTATTGGCAGTGCTAAATAAAAAAGGATAAAGCTCTCGCGCGCTGTTCAACCCTTGCGGGATGCGCCATGCATTCAACTTCAATGTGCAGCGTTTGGAGGTTATTGAATGCATATCTGGTCTTTAAAATGACTGGCGGTGGCTTACCGATGTATCGAACCAGTGCTGCTATCCTCCCAGATAGGCCTGGTACCAATTTGCCGGCCCCTGAGGGATGGAAGGCTTGGTGAGCCACAGGCGCGGAGATGGATTTTTCGTGTGTGTTACAGGGCGCTCCGACCACTGCGCGACACTTGCCGTTTTTACTAAAGCTTGAGTTTTAACGTTTTGTTTTCTGCCTTCTATAATTTTCATGGCAGGTTACTAAGCGAAATACAACCACAATGTTGCTGAGATATTTGCAAAACTCTGGACCGCAGGTGTCTATGGTGGGGAACGAACGCGCTATTATCCTTTCCGGGGAGTAACGCGTTCACC